AGCCTCTAACCCACCTTGCCCTAGCAAATCGTTGTTTGGCTATGTTACCGCTTTGCTCAGCCCCTCTTATAGCGTTGTTAGTTGCAGGTGAAGATTGAAGCTTGTTCCATGTTGGAACATGGATATTTTGTTGGGATATCACGATATATCTTATTTAATTAATGCATCTATATACTTGGTAAAGGGTGGAAGGCTCGGCCTTATGCCTGGTGTTTTGTTCCACTCTTGCCGCCCTAGTTTCCGTCATATCGGTGTTATGTTTCTGGATTTTGCGTTCCTTATGCGGTTGGGTTATAATGGGAACCCCTTGACAATTCGCTTTGAATAAAACTCCTCCAGCAAGGCCCAACCTTGGTTTTACCATTCGCCACCTAGCCTCTTTTTCCCTTGGGTTAGGCCAGCCCAAGGGTCATCTTTATTTTAACCCCCCCGGGCCAGTGCTTGTCTAAGTGTTGGTCCGAACTGAGTAGACTGCGGGGCCACCTTGGGGAAACTTGAGGGCTGGTTTTACTCGTAGGATGTCTCATCCGGTGTTGCCCTGAGAACGAGATATGTGCAGCTCCCATCAGGATGTCGGCGCATCGGGCGGCTTTGCTGGACTTGTTTTACCATTATCGAGGATGTCTTGTAGAACCGGGATACCAAGTCTGATCTGAATGTCTCGGGAGGAGGTCTATTCCTTCGTTGACCGTGAGAGCTTGTCATGGGCTAAGTTGGGACACCCTTGCAGGGTTTTGAACTTTCAAAAGACGTGCCCGCGGTTATGGGCAGATGGAAATTTGTTAATGTCCGGTTGTAGAAAACCTGAAGTTGACCTTAATTAAAATGCATCAACCGCGTGTGTAACCGTGATGGTCTCTTTCCGGCGGAGTCCGGGAAGTGAACACGGTGTTGGAGTTATGCTTGGCGTAGGTTGTTTTAGGATCACTTCTTGATCATATTTTATCGACCATGCTTTGCCTTCTCTTCTCGCTCTCATTTGCGTATGTTAGCCACCATATATGCTAGTCGCTTGCTGCAGCTCCACCTCATACCTTTTACCCTACCTATAAGCTTAAATAGTCTTGATCGCGAGGGTGCGAGATTGCTGAGTCCCCGTGACTCACAGATACTTCCAAAACCGGTTTGCAGGTGCCGATGAGACCGTGCAGATGACGCAACCAAGCTCAGGAGGAGCTCGATGAAGATCTTGTCCTTTGTGTTGTTTTCGTTCTAGTTGATCAGTAGTGGAGCCCAGTTGGGGTCGATCGGGGACCTTTGTCGCATTTGGGGTTCTTCTTTTATTTTGGTTCCGTAGTCGGACCTTGATTGTATTTGGATGATGTAATGCTTTATTCATGTAATTGTGTGAAGTGGCGATTGTAAGCCAACTATGTATCTTTTTCCCTTATGTATTACATGGGTTGTGTGAAGATTACCTCACTTGCGACATTGCTTTCAATGCGGTTATGCCTCTAAGTCGTGCTTTGACACGTGGGAGATATAGCCGCATCGAGGGCGTTACAGATCGAGATTAGGATTTGTCACTCCGATTGTCAGAGAGGTATCTCTGGGCCCTCTCGGTAATGCACATCACTATAAGCCTTGCAAGCAATGCAACTAATGAGTTAGTTGCGGGATGATGCATTACGGAACGAGTAAAGAGACTTGTCGGTAACAAGATTGAACTAGGTATTAAGATACCGACGATCGAATCTCGGGCCAGTAACATACCGATGACAGAGGGAACAACGTATGTTGTTATGCGGTTTGACCGATAAAGATCTTCGTAGAATATGTAGGAACCAATATGAGCATCCAGGTTCCGCTATTGGTTATTGACCAAAGACGAGTCTCGGTCATGTCTACATAGTTCTCGAACCCGTAGGGTCCACACGCTTAAAGTTCGGCGACGATCGGTAATATGAGTTTATGTGTTTTGATGTACCGAAGGTAATTCGGAGTCCCGGATATGATCACGAACATGATGAGGAGTCCCAAAATTGTCGAGACATAAAGATTGATATATTAGAAGCCTATATTTGGACATCAAAATAGTTCCGAGTGAAATCAGGATTTTACCGGAGTGCCGGGGGGGGGGGGTACTGGAACCCCCGGGGGTTAATGGGCCTTGTTGGGTCCTAGTGGAGAGAGAGAGGGGCCGTTCAGGGCAGGGCCGCGCGCCCCTCCCCTTGAGTCCGAATAGGACAAGGAAGGAGGTGGCGCCCCCCTTGCCTTTCCCCTCTCCCACTCCTTCCTTTCCCCTCCTAGTGGGACTAGGAAAGGGGAGTCCTACTCCCACTAGGAGGAGGACTCCTCCTCCCGGCGCGCCCTGCTAGGGCCCGCCGGCTTCCCCCCTTACTTCTTTATATACGGGGGCAGGGGGCACCCCAAGAGACACAAGTTGATCAGTTGATCTTTTAGCCGTGTGCGGTGCCCCCTCCACCATAATCCACCTCGGTCATATCATAGCGGTGCTTAGGCGAAGCACTGCATTGGTAGCATCATCATCACCGTCATCATGCCGTCGTGCTGACGAAACTCTCCCTCGAAGCTCTGCTAGTTCGGAGTTCGTGGGACGTCACCTAGCTGAACGTGTGCTGAACTCGGAGGTGCCGTACGTTCGGTACTTGGATCGGTCGAATTGTGAAGACGTACGGCTACATCAACCGCGTTCTCATAACGCTTCTGCTTACGGTCTACGAGGGTACGTAGACGGTACTCTCCCCTCTCGTTGTTATGCATCACCATGATCTTGCGTGTGCGTAGGATTTTTTTTGAAATTACTACGTTTCCCAACACACCCACATATCAAATTATCAAAGTAACAAACGTGAATCATATGAGCATGATGAAAACTAACTTGACAACAATTCTCATGTGTCCTCGGCAACGCTTTGCTTTATATAAGAGTTTGTCTAGGCTTGTCCTTTGCTACAAAAAGGATTGGGCCACCTTGCTGCACCTTAGTTACACTTGTTACTTGTTACCCCTTACGAATTATTTTATCATAAAACTATATGTTACCGATAATTTCAATGCTTGAAGAGAATACCTTGCTGAAAACCGCTTGTCATTTCCTTTTGCTCCTCGTTGGGTTCGACACTCTTAGTTATGGAAAGGACTACGATAGATCCCCTATACTTATGGGTCATCACTCATCCACTTGCTAATCTTTTTAAAAGATCCAACTAAGATGAACCAATTGCTAGTGAGTTGAGTGCACTAGAATATCTTTATGAAGTTTTTCTTGAAATTCATGAATCTGAAAGTTGTGTTGAAGTGGTAAAAGAAGAAATTTATGAAGTGATTCACAATAGCTCCTTGAATGGAAAGCATGATTACAATGATGTTACTATAAATTTTATTAATGTCAATTGTGCTAATAATATGCAAAACCTTTAGCTTGGGGATGCCAATTTTGCTATCTCCACTACTTATTGCGATGATCATGATTGGGGTGATAATGCTTCTTATGATCTTGAATTTTTTAAGCCTCATGATGAATATGTTTGCAATAATATTGAAAGTGAGTTTGGAAAAGTGTCAACTCTAGGTAATAATGATCCCACTACTTTGGATAATGATCAATCTTATGAAAATTTTGATAAAAGTGGGCTTGGAGATGTCATGACTTTATTTGATGATAATCTCACTATTTTGGAAGAACTGACTGAAGGATTTACAAGGGGAATATCAGGGTCATGTAAAAAAGCCCACAATCATTCTTGAAGCAGATGCATCATAGGATCTTTGGATTTAGAACGTTTTCTTTGGCATGCTCGGGTCTCACAATGACATCAATGTGCTGCAATGATCGCCGTTGTTTGTGAGGTTGACTGGAGGAAAAGTTTCTCCTTGCCACTATACCGTGGCAGACCTGTTTTGCAGTTGTTCGTGGACCTGCACAATAATGGGATCCGGAGACCTTATGGAAGGTGATGACATGTTGTGTGATCATGCACACCATGATCATCGAGAATGAGGGTGACGATGCTGCCACATCTCTGAAATTTGAGAACATGGGTGATCCTATCCAACTTCCAGACCAGAATCCGGTCACATTTGAAGAGTTTATTCAAATGCATCAACAAATACGGCATCGACCAACTCACGAGCAGCCGAAGGAAGATCTGATTGAGCATCAGTGGGCGGTGAAAGGGCAACAATGTTGGGATGTAATATTTGAATTTTTTTTAATTTGAACTAGTGATGTATGTGGCCATTTTAACGTATGTACCCTTTGTGTGCGGCCATTTGATCGTGCGGACTTAAAAAAAATAAGGAAAGCAGGATGTATGCAGCTACAGTTGGATGCCGTCCCTGTGTCCGCAGACTGCTCCCCCCCTGTCCCCGGACGGATGCGGGAGGATTTTTGTGGGCCGCCGTTGGAGATAGCCTAACGAATTATAAGCGATCGAGAGATGATTTTTTTAAACCGGGCCAATCCCCTCTCCATTGCCGAACGAGGGGGGGGGGGAGCGAGTTCAACGCATGCACTGTCAGAAAACCCACCGCATTCGCTCACCATCGAAACAGATGCTATGTGATGATGTTAGAGATGCTTTGACATGTTGCATTGCATTGTACTCCCTCCGTTCCAAAATAGATGACTCAATTTTGTACTAACTTTAGTACAAAGTTAGTACAAAGTTGAGTCATCTATTTTGGAACGGAGGGAGTATTGCTTATATCCAGCCAGAAGATGAAAGGGTCGAATCTGAAGGACACAAATAAGAACGTGCCCAAAAACTGCACGAAATCCCCCAAAACTTTACAAAGAAGCACTCAAACTATGCACACTATTACACCTAGCCAAGCCAGACCAGCACCCGTTTGTTTCACTGTTATACTTCCGCGTCCCCCTCGTCCCCGTCCCTCCGAACGCACGGAACAGCCAGCCATCACAGATCCGAGCTCGCGTCCGCCTACCTCGACGACCGCCGCCGCGCGCGGCTCCGGGATCGGAGACCTTTCGCCCGGCAGCCTCGCGGCGACCGCGGGGTGGGGCGGACGCGGTCATGGAGGACTACCCGGAGGAGCTGCGGACGCCGCCGGTGTCGCTGGTGTCCATCGTGGGGTGCCCGGAGATGCACTCCACGATCTCGGCGGCGCTCAGCTCCCAGCAGCCGCCCATGAACACGCTGGCCCTCCCGGACTTCGCCAAGGCCAACATCCTCTCCCGCACCGCCAAGAGCCGCGACCCGCTCGCGCCGCCGCAGGCCGCCACGGGGATCCTCAAGAAGGACTGGCTCCTCAAGCACCGGACGCGGGTGCCCGCCGCCGTCGCCGCCATGTTCCGGGCCGATCAGGTCACCGGCGACCCCGCCCAGTGGCTCCAGGCCTGCTCCGATCTCGAGAACCTCAAGTACCTCCTCTTCATCCTTTAGCATTGATCCCAAATCGACACGTGCAGTTTCACATTTATAATTATCAATGTTATAATGCGAATGAGCAATCTTTTCATCTGTCGGGATTAGGAACTTGTTGGACCCTTTGGAACAGTAGCAAGTGTAGTCCATCTTGAAATTACAAATGTCAAATGATTTACTTTTCTTTGCGCAGGTCTATAATCCAGGGAAGACATAGTAAATTGGTGGTGATCCTTGTACAGACTCAAGCTGGTGGTAAGTAACGTCTTGTCCACCCCTAGTGGTCTCTTTTATCTATCGACCATTAGTCAGAACACTGCAGGGCTTGTGCCCTATATACCATGATAATGGGGGACATGTGCCTACTCACAAAGAGGATCCTATACTTGCTTGATATTAGTGGGTCAAACCTCCCATCAGTGACATGCCAATTAGGAAAACGATTTTAAGCAAACACACAATTATATCCTGCAGATGAGCTGGGTGAGGAAGTTATGGTTGCCCTGAGAAAACGTGCGGAGATTGATTCTAAGCACCTGATTGTGTTGGTTGAGAGTGATGAAGCAGAACGGAACGCATCTCTCCTCAAGTTAGTTTCTCAGACATGTTATTTCTCCTCAAGTTGAGAGTGAAAAAGCTTGCACCAGTTTTTATTTATGATAATTTCCTTGAAAGTACATCTCATAATTCATCTGCTGTTCCAACCTTGTTGACAGATTGAGGACTATTTTTGCGGAGCTGTGTTCCACATACTATAAGGAGGAAGGGCGAAGGATAAAAGCCCGCATTGAGAAGAGGAACTTCTCTTCTGTGGAGCTGAGTGTCCGCTACTGCTTCAAGGTAAGGATCCCTGTCTCATCCATTCTAGTGCTATTAATAAGTGTTCCTAAGTACCATTGTAGGCATAGTATTAAAAACCGGACCAGACCGGTCCGACCGAAAAAACCCGGAACAGGCAGCCCTGGCGGTTTTTTGAGCTTCATGGACCGTCCTGCAATCAAACCGCAGAAAATCGGCTGAACCAGACGGTTTTTCTATAAACCGGGGAATAAAACCAGGCAGTTGGACCGGTTGATGGGCGTGAGTGCTAAAATTTTATTGCGTTGCATGGGATTCGAACGCAGGTGCCCTCAAAAGCGAAGCCGAAGTACTAATCTCAGCCCAGTAACCAACCGAGACAGGCTAGCTAGGTGTCAAATTGAAAGAAGTTACATTATTTAACGTTCCTCCCCTATTATATTAGTACGTTCAAATTGTTTTTTTACCTATTGAACCGACAATCGAACTGGTGAACCGGCGGTCTGACCGGCGAAAACCTGAAACGCCAGACTCATGGTTTGATCATCAGTCTGGTTCTTACTTAGATTATGATTGTAGAAGTACTGTAAAGAAAGCCTTTCACTTACACCGACTTGATTGTTAACCAGAACATGTGAATGAATTTTCTACCTTTTTATTTGCATTATTCTGATGTTTCTGATTTCTTACACCAGGTTGCTGTTTATGCGGAGTTTAGACGGGATTGGCCAGAAGCATTGAAGTTCTACGAGGAAGGAGTTCGTGTTTTGCGTGAGGTGTGACCGGCAGTCCTATGCCTTAAACTGATATAGCCTTGTCAACAGTCATAATTAAGTAAATCAATGGTTGGCATGCCAAATTATTTTAGAAGTAATTAAGGAAAGGAATTAAGAAAAGCACCATTGTGTAAATGTTATTCTCTTTTTTTTAGGGAAGTGTAATGCTATTCTTGATCACTTCATACTAAAAAGAAAGCTGTGCAAGCATCTGATATCCTTATATAGCATTCTGCATTCACTAAAAGTAGTCCAAACAACACTTCGTTCCATCCTCCCTATTTATGTTTATACATTGCCTTCTAAATTTGTTACAGTTTGATTGATCTGCCACCGTTGCTTATAAAGTTTCTATTAATTTTGACACTTTCCATTGGCAATGCGCTCATATTTAGATGATTGGGACTTCAACAAGGTTGCCTCCAACCCAACGCCTAGTTGAGATAAAAGCAGTCGCCGATCAATTTCACTTTAAGATATCAACATTGCTACTTCATGCTGGGAAGGTCGTAGAAGCAATCACATGGTTCCGTAAACATATCCGAAGCTTTGAGCGTGTTGTTGGATCACCAGAAGTCGCTTTTCTTCATTGGGAATGGTTTAGCAGGCAGTTCCTTGTCTTTGGTGAGCTAATAGAGACAACATCAACAACTGTTCCAGATACAATATCCCCTCGGTTTGGTACTGCTGACAATGCATTGACTGAGTGGGAATTTCAGCCAGCTTACTACTACCAGGTTCAGTTTAAATCTTCTGTACACAGCACTGTAATTGAGAGCCACATTTCTTTTACTGGATCACACTTAATCTATCATACATTTCCTTCTGGCAGTTAGCGGCAAATTACCTCCGAGAGAAGAGGTGTGCTTTAGAGTGTCCTCCGTCAAGGGCAAATCTTACCGGTGATAGCGAAATACCTGACTCAGTAATGTCTTCTGTATATGTTGGCCAGTATGTCCGCCTGTTTGAGGAAGGAGATACCATTTCTGTGCTTCCGTAAGTTTTCTTGATGCCTGTTTTTAATTGATAATACAACTTTAAGATTAATACTTATACTTCACACTGTGATTGCAGCCTTTCTGATACAGAATATACCAGTTATGCTTTGTCAGAAGCTGAAAGGTTTCAAGATTCGTACGAGATAATTGCATTGTTCAGAAAAGCTTATGAATCATTTCTGAGTCTAGGGGCTACGAGAATGGCTTCTTCCTGTAGTGCTGGAATGGCTATAGAATATTATGCAGCTGGGGAATTTGGTAACGCAAAAAAACTTTTTGATGGCGTCGCTGGTCTATACCGTCAGGAGGGCTGGACTACTTTGCTTTGGGAAAACCTGGGTTACTTGAGAGAATGCTCAAAGAAACTTAATTCTCTGGTGAATTTTATCAGCTATTCACTAGAGATGGCTGCACTACCGTTATTCTCTGGCAGTGTACAGGGCAACTCTGAAAATAAAAGTAATGGACCAGCAGGTTGGCCTACCATTTCCAGGAGAGAGGAAATACAGCAAGAAGTTGTCAATATTCTTGAAGGAAAACATACATCCCAAGTTATGGATGATGAATTTAATCTTCAATTGACGGAAGAATCTACTCAACTAGTTATTGATCAAATAAGTCCTCTAAGAATAGTGCTTGTTGCATCTGTTGCTTTTCATGACCAATCTGTAAAACCTGGCTCACCTCTGCTTGTCAGCGTGTCATTGTTGTCTCATCTTCCTTCTCCAGTTGCAATTGATCAATTGGAGGTTCAGTTCAACCAATCTGACTGTAACTTTGTCATGGTTAGTGCACAGGAAAATTCTTCTACGTTGAATTCAGATGTTCATGGCCAAGTTGTCCATTCTACTTCTCTTACATTGTTCAGCAATAAATGGATGCGGTTGACGCATGAAATTAAATCAGGTACTCTCTTAGCAGTTATGCGCTATTTGTTTCATTAAATTTTCATCCATGCTAGGCAGCATTTGATGTTAATTGCCAGAGACCAGAGTACTATCCTATATATAATGTACAAACACAGATGGCGAGATTGGATGCACCGATGCACCACATGAGTTGGAGAAGAAAATCCTAGAAGTTGTCCCATTAATTATGATAGAAGGGGGAACATCTCATGTTGAATTGGAGACAAGGAAAATAATCTAATCCATTTGTTATATGGTACAGTCCAATTATAATAGCTGTGATATTCCTTTGAAAGACTCCATGCTCCAGAGCACACATTGGTTAAGGGATGACTAATTCGCGGTCAAGCACCCTACATGGTCAAGTCTGACAGCTGAGCTATCGTCTTCTCCATCTCCAGTGGTTCTTCCACTGCCGGATCCTCCCTCCTCGTCGTCGAGGAACCACCTCCATCACAGTTTTTCCTCGTTGAGCCGCTGGCCAGCCCGTTGCCCATGCAGTTGTCCCCTGCCGTTTGTGGCCAGCGGCGCTGCCCCTGCCCCATATGTACCAACCGTCAGTCTGCCGCTGCCCAGGCCATCCCTGTAGCCTGGTGCTGGCATTGTCCCATCCCACCACTAAGCTTCGCCCTCGCCTCCGCCAGTGCTGCCGCCTCCTATCTCGTTCCAGCCTTCACCATCATCGGGCAACCGCGGCAACGCCTCCTCTGCCTCAGTCTGCGATGCCACAGCTTGGGCACCGACATCATGGCCTCTTGTGGCAGCACGCTGCCTGGTGGAGAGCAGAGCGGAGGAGAGAGGTGTGGCGGTGCAGTTGTATCGTGGGGATTGGAAGAGATAAGGAGAGAGAAGCACGTGGATAGGGGTAGATAAAGGTGTGTGGCAGTTGCAAGTTCCATTGGGTGCGACCGAGGATGTACAATGCATACCTTCACATAACTTGGCAAATAAACAACTGGAACAGTAAATATTAATCAGAAAAAATTGAAAATTGTTGAGGAAACAAACTCTAACCATTAACTTGGGATTTATTAACCATGCGATTGTGTGGGCTAGTTGGCTTGTTGTGACAGAAAAAAGGGCTTTTCATGATTAGATGATACAAAGAGCACAGCCAATTTTCTGCCATATCCGAAAGTTGATACTGTAGCTGTAGCTTATTTATATTTTGACCTGTTCATTTTTCATAATTTATAGCCTGCCTATTTGCTTCTTGGTGTGGGAATATCAAGCTTTCTTCTCCATCTGTTGGTGCTGATATTCTTTTTTCCTACCACGAGTTGTAAAATTGAAGTAATACTATGAGTACTTTCTGCAGGACAAAGTGGAAAGTTGGAATGTTTATCGGTGAAGGCAACAATAAATAAGCACCTTCTGGTTTGCTGCCAGGCTGAAAGTCCTGCTTCAATGGAAGACTTTCCGCTGTGGAAATTTGAGGATCAAGTGGAGACATTGCCTACAAAGGATGCTGCACTTGCCTTTTCCGGGCAGAAATTGATTCAAGTCGAAGAGCCAGACACTCAAGTTGACCTTGTCTTAGATTCTACTGGCCCTGCGCTGGTTGGAGAGTTGTTTGTTGTCCCAGTAACCATATTATCAAAAGGGCACGCAGTTCATTCTGGTGAGCTGAAAATTAATCTCGTCGATGCCAAAGGCGGTGGTCTTCTGATGAGTCCAGGGGAAGCAGACGAATCTGAAAGCCATCACGTTGAACTTCTTGGTGTTTCAACCGCAAGTGGGGATGAAGTGTCGAAGGAAGAAGTTGATAACATTAAAAAGATTCAATATTCATTTGGGGTCGTATCAGTTCCCATGCTAGTTGCGGGTGATTCCTGGTCCTGCAAATTGGAAATTAAATGGCATGGAGCAAAGTCACTCATGCTCTATGTTTCACTTGGCTATTCTCTAGACTCGAGTGAAGATGCATCACTACACAGACTTAACGTGCACAGAAGCTTGCAAGTTGAAGGAAAGATCCCCATGATAGTTGGTCACCAGTTTTTGAGACCATTTAGGCGAGAACCCTTGTTGCTATCTAGGATCAGATCCTCAAGCGGCGACAATAAAAAAGATTCACTTGCTATGAACGAGTCCAATATGCTTATTGTGAGTGCTAGAAATTGCACCGAGGTCCCTTTGCGTTTGCACTCGATAGCCATTGAATCTGATGGTGATGGGAAGCAGCTGTGCCCAGTGGAACAAATCAGCGGACTATCTGATGAATACGCAGTTGTTGCTCCTAGCGCAGAATACAAGGCAATATTTTCAGTCAATCCAAGGGCCAGCAATCCGGACTTTTATTTAGGTGAACTTTGCCTGAACTGGTCAAGAGATTTAGTCCTTGGAGAGAATCAAGATAGGCGTGTTACGATGAAGCAAAGATTACCCGAGGTTCATATCGAGGAGCCGCCGCTTGTTGTGAGCATTGAGTGCCCTCCCTACGCTATCCTCGGGACGCCGTTCACTTTCTATGTGAAGATCCACAATTCAACATCCTTACTCCAGGAAATCAAGTACTCTCTTGTTGATTCCCAGAACTTTGTTTTCTCTGGGGCACACAATCATGCCGCATTCATTCTGCCGAAAACCGAGCATACCGTTAGTCACAAGCTCGTGCCGCTTGGTTCCGGCTCCCAGCAGCTGCCGAGGATAACGGTAACTTCGGTGAGGTACTCTGCTGCATTGACTCCTCCAACCTCGGCCACATCCGTCTTTGTCTATCCCAGCGAGCCCAAATTCAACCTGGAAAAGAGCCACCCCATATCCGATGAATGCGTGAGCTAGATTCTCACAAACCTGGCAATCCACTCCTTATGCCCCCTTGGCTGTTCAAGCAGAGGAACGCCGCTGGAAAGAGAAAGCTATTGGTGATTCAGTCTCACCTCCTTGCCGAACAGGCTTGAAGCGAAAATGCTGTTGTCAGAGTGGTGATCGGCACGGCGCCGAAGTTTTGGCCTTGTTTTGAATATTGGTTTCTGTAGACCTTTTGGATAGACCAGATATGCCTGTAACTTGTGATTATACTCCATTGTTTTTGGCTCAAGGATAGTTGCACACAGTAGACATGGCGCGTTGGTGCTGTATGTAAATTAGGCCCCACCAGGCAAGTGGGGAATAAGTGAGCCCCATATCTCTCAGTAGCAGAAGTTTTTTGTTATCTTCAGGTTCATTGTTTCTGTAGAACTTGTGTTTAACCATACTGACATCGCTGCTGCTACAAACTTTCATACCCAGTGTTGTCCTTAGTTTCTCTTTTCAGCGTAAAAAAAAAAAGCTTTTTACTCCTATTTTTGTCGCAATTTCCAGTAAAAGAAATGGTGTGATCTCCAGTAATTTTTACTGCCTTTCGACCTCATCTGCAATGCAAAGATTCCTGTGAAATTTGTGCCGGTTTCCAGCAAACCTATTGTTACTAATCAACACCTGAAATGTGAAGTGCTCAGTGCTCTGGGCGAGAAAGAGACGTCGCAACGGCGCCGCGGGGTGGCTGCGTGGTTCACGACGGTCGCCGTCCGGGCGGCGGCGCGCTCCACGCCGGCTCCAGCCATGCCGCCCCAGCCCAAACAATCTCTCTCGCCCATAAAAATCCAGGCGATTTCGTCCATGGAAATCCAAACTCGCCATCATTTTCCCTGCTTCGCTCGCCTAGCATTAAACCCAACCAATCCCATCCCATGCTACCAAGTGCCACGGCGACAAACACGTACTCGTATTGTCCTGGCAGTGGCGCCGCGGCTGGGGGTCTAGGGTTTAGCCGGGCGGCAATAATTGGGAGGCCGAGAGGAGAATCGAATCGATACTCCCGGCCCCGGACGACCTGCTTGGCTGCGCGCGTCTCGATACCACCTACCTCGTCGCCGTCAGAGCCTCTTCCCACGCGCCGCTCCCCTGTCCCCGCGCCCGCCGCAGCCGCTGCCGCCCCCTGCCGGGACGAGATGGAGGTCGCCGCCGCCGCCGCCGCCGTCGCCGTCCCGAGGCACAAGGTGAAGAAGCAGATTAACCTCTTCTACTGCGCCGAGTGCGAGGAGCTCGCCCTCAAGGTCGCCGCCGCCTCCGACGCCATCCAGCTCCAGTCCATCAACTGGAGGTACGCCACGCGCGCCGCCCCCTCCCCCTACCTCCCCTCCTCCTCGATTCTGTTCAACCTCTCTCATCTAACCCCTCCCGACTCCATGGCGCCGCCAGGAACTTCCCGGACGGGTTCCCGAACCTCTTCATCAACAACGCGCACGACATCCGGGGGCAGCACGTGGCCTTCCTCGCCTCCTTCAGCTCGCCGGCGATCATCTTCGAGCAGATCTCCGTCATCTTCGCGCTGCCCAAGCTCTTCATCGCCTCCTTCACGCTCGTGCTGCCCTTCTTCCCCACGGGCACCTTCGAGCGCGTCGAGGAGGAGGGCGACGTCGCCACCGCATTCACGCTCGCGCGCATCCTCTCCATGATCCCCAAGTCGCGCGGCGGGCCCACCAGCGTCGTCATCTACGACATCCACGCGCTCCAGGAGAGGTTCTACTTCGGGGACGACGTCCTGCCCTGCTTCGAGACCGGCATACCACTCCTGCTGCAGCGCCTCAGCCAGCTCCCCGACGCCGACAATGTGCGACCCCAGCCATTTCCTGCTAATTTCCAACTGTGCTGTGAATCCTTGTTGTTGCTGCTGCTGCTTGTCTGACTCCTCGTGTGCTGCAGGTCACCATTGCCTTCCCAGATGATGGGGCGTGGAAGCGCTTCCACAAGTCGTTGGCCAACTTCCCGGTGGTCAGTCTGCTCTTCTGTGCGAATGCTTGGATGTGTCTAATTTTCATGTTCCTTTCTGTTTGTGATAAACAGAGAGATTACGCGGTATTAAGTTTTCAGGCCTCAGATCCTCTGACTTAGGAAGAGAAGTCAGGGGAAGCTACAGTAGCATGACTTCCCTTCTCTAGATTTTCATAAGCTGCAATTTAACACAACGATTATGTACAGTGATTGTCCACAGTAATCTGTGCATCTACAGTGATTCCTGGGCAGTGTCGGATCTCTAACTTGCCTTCCATATTTTACACAAAGAGGCCACTGTAGCTCCCTGACTTTCCTCTTGCATGTCAGAGGATCCCTCTCCCTTTTGATGATGGAGCTGTTTGACTATATAGGTTGTCTGTGCGAAGGTCCGTGAAGGCGACAAGAGGATAGTCCGGATTAAAGAAGGGAACCCTGAAGGGCGACATGTCGTTATTGTTGATGATTTAGTGCAATCTGGTGGAACTCTTAGAGAGTGCCAGGTAACTATCTCTCATTCTGTTGCAATTGCTGATGGGTACAGTCTTGTGGCATCATTTCTAGTTGTCCAACCGAAATACGTAATGCCCTGTACAATGCAAATTTTACCTGAATCCACATTTCATAGTACTACCAGCAGGCTAAGTCATGTAAAGCTAATAAGTTCAATTCCATTCCTTCGGCAAACCTGGTTATAGCAAGAGTCAGTGGCATGTGAATTTTCACGCTGTGGTCGATTTGGTGTGACATATTTACTTCATGTCATTGTACAGCGAAATAGAAGTAACATATTTCAAGTGCCAATTAAGTATGATGCAGTCTGGACTTTTAGCTGCATATACTGTTACGTTCCCCTTTTTTCCATGAGTATTTATGTTCTGTTCAACTGTGTTCTGCAGAAAGTTCTGGCTGCTCATGGTGCTACAAAAGTTAGCGCCTATGTAACTCATGCTGTGTTCCCCAATCAGTCATATGAACGCTTCATGACTGCTAATTCTGGTAATTGGCGATTCTCCCTTTCCCCTGTTTTTCAGCTATTCAAACTTTGGTTTGCTCATTGTTTTAATTTTATGGCAGCTGGGCCAGGTGACCAGTTTGCTTACTTCTGGATCACGGATTCGTGCCCTCAGACGGTGAAAGCCATCAGCCAACAATCTCCATTTGAGGTGTTGAGCCTTGCTAGCTCTATCGCTGATGCCCTTCAGATATGAACATGGACTGTGAAATGGGCTGCTCCTGAATGTAGAGCTTACATTTCCAGCTCCAGCGAAACAAATAATGTGGAGCTAGTTCGAGTTATCTAATTGTGTCTTGTCTGAAGCTTTCATAAGCAGCCCATGGTTTGATAATAAAACAAGGCATCGGATGTTCACCCGTTTGGTTCTCTGTATTCGCTTCCAATGCTCTAGACTGGTCTAGCGTTTTAATTTCCTGACATGACATGACATGTACGAAGGCTGAAACCTGAGTGTTTGCATTTGATTGAAATTATCTTGAAATTCCAGGTCAGGTTTCAACCTCCTGCTTACTGAATTGCCATCAGATTGCCCTAATAGGGATACATCAGCTGAAACCTGTAGTCTTATTATTTGCTTCCCTTTTCTTCTTGTTGAAAGATAAACCCTTGGGGTGTTATGGTTAGCCGTAATGCGCGGAGTGAGAGCAATGTTTCCAAGGAATCGAAGCAAACACTGTCATTCCTACAGATAAATTATTTAATTCTTCACGATTGGTACTCCTAAACAGATGGCGACTGCAACGTGCGACTAACTAGCAGTAGTAACACACAATGGTCTTCAGGATTGGTACTTCTAAACAGCAGCCAAGCTTGCGTACTGGACACATTGAACTTAGCTGGAGTGCACCACTAGAGCGCACAGATGTCAATTAACTTGCATTATTAGCTTGCAGCTGCATTTTTTGCTGTTGACAGTTGACAGTGCAGGGGAATAACATATGCTGACATGTGAATGTCAAATTGCATGTTTCTGACGGTACGAAAATTTAGCCTGAAAAACTGGGTCTGCATATACACTTCAGATAAAGTCACATGGTACATCCAGGAATTTGAACCTATCTTGCAAAAGATAATTTGAACTTAGTTATCATGTCGAAAAGGCGAAATTCACTCAAATAGGGCGTACAAGCTTAAAGAGAATCTCAAATACAGAGTAGTTGCCCTAGTACCCTTAATGATAAGTGATCCGAGATAAAATAAACGGGAGTGCTAAATCTTAGTCTTAGTCGATGCTTTATTCATGAGATCTTACGTGGAGATCTGTGCAAAATTTTATTTCTTCTTTTTGGAATGTTGTGTCATTTGAATGAGACTTGGTTAAGTCTCAGTCAACTAAGGTCTAGCCACACCCTAAAATAAAAAACTGGTGCCCCTTTTGTCAAGAATGGGCACATTTAGGTCCAAGCCCTTCAAAATTTCACCTGATATTTTCCTATATATTCTGCAAGCCAATGGACATGCGCACCAAACTCGAACATGAAAAAAAAACACATAGCAAGTAGTTTGATGCCATCACATTATAGAATGGCATGAGGTACGCCCGTTTGGTGAAGACTTAAGCAGATGAGCAAAAGATACTTGTCCATCCTTGTGAATAACCATTCTGCAGCTAGCTGCTTGGTCCGGCCGAACAAGTTACCTCCAGCCGGTCGGTGCGCAAGGCTGCAAGCATCGGCTACTCACTATTCTAAATTTCCAATGCATATGCTACCTAAACCAAAGATTTAAACATGAGCAAGGAAGAGCATACCTGCAAGGCTACAACTGCATCTTCCTCCTCATAAATCTTCAGCCACAAGGGCCATATCAGGTGAGGTGGGATGAATCGCTTGCTTGCAAGAAACATGCATGGCTAGCTAGCGATCGATCAGTATATATAAAGGTGTCCATTTGTTTCCGGCAGTTCCATGACAAGAAGAAGTGCTGATTAATCCGTCGCCATGGATTCAGAGCTATCAACAGTGTTCTTCCTGCTGATAGTTTTCGCAGCGTGTTGTTGCTCTTCCTCGAGCGCCACCCACCATGACCCCTCGGTCGTCGGGTACTCGCAGGAGGACGTCGCGCTGCCGAGCAGGATCCTCGACCTCTTCAGCTCGTGGTCGGTGAAGCACAGCAGGGTGTACGTGACCCCGAAGGAGAAGGTGCGGAGGTACGAGGTGTTCCGGCAGAACCTGAAGCACATCGTGGAGACCAACAGGAGGAACGGGAGCTACTGGCTGGGCCTGAACCAGTTCGCCGACGTCGCCCACGAGGAGTTCAAGGCCGGCTACCTAGGGCTGAGCGCCGGCGGGCGGCCGCGCGCTCCGACGACGGCGTTCCGGTACGAGGCCGCCGTGGACCTGACCCGGGAGGTGGACTGGAGGAAGAAGGGGGCGGTCACGCCGGTCAAGAACCAGGGGAAATGCGGTAAGGAGACAAGGCGATCTCTGAACATTGCATTGCACGTCCATGACCCATATCAGGATTTCAGTTAGCGCATTGCGCGCCATGTGTGTGAAATTGTGTTGCAGGAAGCTGCTGGGCCTTCTCGACGGTGGCGGCGGTGGAAGGGATAAACCAGATCGTGACGGGCAAGCTGGAGTCGCTGTCGGAGCAGGAGCTGATGGACTGCGACAGCACCTTCGACCACGGCTGCGGAGGGGGCCTCATGGACTTCGCCTACGCCTACATTGTGGGGAACCAGGGGATCCACACCGACGCCGACTACCCCTACCTCATGGAGGAGGGCGACTGCAAGGAGAATCAGGTTGGCACTTGGCACAGGGAACAACAACAAGCTAACGAACTCTTCAGATGAATTTCAGCTGCAAAGGAATTTTGTTACTCTAATCTGATGGACATTGATTACTTTGATCTGATCTCGTACTTAGCCCCACTCCAAGGTCGTCACCATAAGCGGCTACGAGGACGTGCCGGAGAACAGCGAGCTGAGCCTGCTCAAGGCGCTGGCGCACCAGCCCGTCAGCGTGGGCATCGCCGCAGGGAGCAGAGACTTCCAGTTCTACAAAGGGGTAAACAAAATGATCAAGTGTTACCTTATCTACCATGATAATAGAGCAGATGATACAAAATGATCGTGTTATTTACCCTGGTAATTATCTTATCTGTTTTTGTGTGCGCGTGGCTTGGCTGCAGGGGGTGTTTGAAGGAACCTGTGGCACTCAGCTGGACCACGCGCTGACGGCCGTCGGATACGGCTCATCCAACGGCCAGGACTACATCATCATGAAGAACTCGTGGGGCGGGGGCTGGGGCGAGCAAGGCTACTTCAGGATCAAGAGGGGCACCGGGAGGCCCGAGGGCGTCTGCGACATCTACAGGATCGCCTCTTACCCTACCAAGAACAACGGCACGGGCTGGGGGTGGGGGGCCTGATTTTGTCGGCGGCATAAGGTGTCTCTGAAACTCATTCGTTCATAGTTCGTTCCAAGTGCTAGCACGTGGATGCAGCATCCCCCTTTTTTTTCTCTCGAACACGAAGCATCAGCAGTCAAACAAGTTAGTAGTCTGTAAATTATATGGCTCCGGTGAGAAAATCTGGTTGTTCGTCGGCAGTTCAGTTCAGTTGTTGTATTGCTCTTCTATTTTCGGCAAACACAGTGGGGAAAGGGGACGGGGCAATGTCGATTGAGCCTGTCGGATCCAGACATACTCCTACATGTGTGACAGAGACCAACCTCTCGCAACTGGCAAGTCCCGGGCCGTCCAGCGCAGGAGGGGGCCAGTAGAACAAGAATGTAAAGAGAATAAAAAGGCAATTCGTCTTAACTAATCACCAAAGGTCCTATGGTCTAGTGGTTAGGACATTGGACTCTGAATCCAGTAACCCGAGTTCAAGTCTCGATAGGACCTTGTTTTTTTTGTTTTTTGCATACGACTACTTGCATGGTAATTGCTGAGGTATTGAGCCGAGCAGCCCAAGACATAGGTACTGCAAAAAATATGTTACTTTTTGTCATGAATTGAAGAGAATTACAAAAATACGAGCACATCGATCATCTTCGGGTCATCCTGGACTGGAGCCTAGACATAGCTCGCATGCTACAACGTTTCTTAGAGTGATGCAGAAGGAGATATGAAAGGAGCAGCTTGCATTTGTAACTCATTTTTGTGGCATCTATACAATTTGACGGACATACTACGATTTCCCAATCACTGCCAAGTTATCAAGGGAACGAGTCTAGTCTTTATCACATGCATTATTTCTTTTCTTCTGTTTGGTATTAGGCTTCGATTATTGGCACCGCTTTATCAAGTGGATAGAAATAGTGACAGATGTTGTTAACACGGTGGCTTCAGACTACTTGATGTACTACTTTGTAAGATCTTTATGAATAATTAATAAAATAGATGCATGCATATCCCACATGCAGAGGCCGGGGGTCATCCTTCTCGAAAAAAATGATTCATCTTCTTTCTTTGAGAGAAATTTTCGATCTATTCACAATCAATCATGGCAGTACGAAAACACTAGATGTAATAAAAATTAAAGCAGATCCATGGACCACTTAGCAGCGATTACAAGCATTGGAGCGAGCTAAAGGCGCGTCACCGTTATCGCCCCTATCTAACCGGAGCTGGGCAGATTGTTGTTGTAGACAGCCGGAAAGTCCTCGTGCTAAAACCTTAAAGGACCGGCGCACCATATCAACAACCATCACCGATGAAGAGTGTCATAGATCAGAAGGATCAAACCTATAACCACACGAGCGAAGACGAACAAAAACCGAGTTCAAATAGATCCTTCGAAGACCAGTAACGACTGATGGCTATTCTCATGTACCACTCATCCCCTTTGGCAACAAGTTGTATGTCACTATTGGTTTCGTGAACTTTATTATGACCTTTTCCAATGCTACAAATATACCAGGTGAAGCTCCATAGGACACCCCTTGTCGTTCTGTGAACCTAATTCTTAGACCCTCGGTATCGCCCCTCTTCCCTTTCTCGACATCATCTCTTCTTGGCGTTGTGGATGATCTTAACGGTGGATTATCGTGCATGCCTCTTGAGGTCACAACATTTCCATCCTCTCCCATATTTTAACTCTTCAAGCCACCTCCCTAAACTGAACTTCTCCATTTTTGTTGGTGACCTACATTTTCAAGCACCTAGTCATTCCCCTAAAAATTACTACCCAAACAAACAATTCACAAACTTTGCCCATTCAAACATGATTTTCATCAGTGGTGCATAATTATACATCACCCACAAATTGAACTAAGCAATGCTTAATTAAAATAAACTACAACTTAATTACTTTAAATTATGACTTAATGGTTTTGGTAGAGCACATCATCTAGAAGTGCCCTAAGTATTGCACATCTAAGCCTTATGTCACTGATTTTACGCGGAGATTTGTGTGTGTATTTTTTTTACGTTTGATTGAGTCACTTGTATGTGCAATAGGTAGGGCACATCTAGATGTGCTCTAGACATACCCATGATGTAATTAACCTAAGACGATCTACTTCTTGTCATCAGAGGAGATGACGATGGGCTAGGCCCCTTGCTGGGTCCCAACGCCTTGGCATCATGGGTGCCCTTTGGCGCACCCTTGTTAACGTAGGAGGAGGAGTCAACATCGAGGTAGGCATAGAACTCTGCCCACTCTTGTTGCTTGGTCTTGTATGCAGTTTGGATGTCAGCAGCGTGCGGCTTCGATGAAGCCCTTGGTGGCAAAGTGCTCCTTAAGGGTCTGGGCACCGACATAGATAACGACAACCACATCCTTGTCTGCGCATTCCCGCGATGAGTTGCACCTCAACGAAGATGTGCGCCTTGAGCTCCGTCTCCACTCCATCTCTAGTGCACGGTCATCCTCTTCCCACGTCTGGGGCTTAGAGGTAGCAGGATGTCGTCATATTAGTGCCTCTGTCTCATTGCCATCCAACCCATAGTCGGAGGAGGGTGTCGACAACGGGAGGAACATAATGGGGCGCAACGCGGACACGACATATGATGGCAAGGATGTGCTAACGGTATAGTACTCCATGCGTCACCACGGAACCATCGATTGTGGATGGCCTTTGCAACGAAGAACTCTGCAACGCACCATGGCAACGAGATTGGTGGATGGCTGAAACGCCCTCGATGCGGCTATATCTCCCACGTGTCGAAGCACGACTTAGAGGCATAACCGCATTGAAAGCAATGTCGCAATTGAGGTAATCTTCACACAACCCATGTAATACATAAGGGAAAGAGATACATAATTGGCTTACAATCGCCACTCCACACAATACATGAATAAAGCATTACAACAACCAGATACAATCAATGTCCGACTATGGAACCCAAAATAAAAGAAGACTACCCCAAATACTACACAGATCCCCGATCGTCCCGATTGGGCTCCACTACTGATCAACTGAAAACGGAACAACACAAAGGACAAGATCTTCATCGAGCTCCTCCTGAGCTTGGTTGCATCACCTGCTCGGTAACATCGACACCTGCAAACTGGTTTTAGAAGTATCTGTGAGTCACGGGGACTCAGCAATCTCGCACCCTCGCGATCAAGACTATTTAAGCTTATGGTAGGGTAAAGGTATGAGGTGGAGCTGCAGCAAGCGACTAGCATATATGGTGGCTAACATATTCGCAAAAGAGAGCGAGAAGAGAAGGCAAAGCACGATCGAGAAACTATGATCAAGAAGTGATCCTAGAACAACCTACGTCAAACATAACTCCAACACCGTGTTCACTTCCCGGACTCCACCAAGAAGAGACCATCACGGTTACACACGCGGGTGTTGCATTTTAATTAAGGTTAACTTCAGGTTTTCTACAACCGAACATTAACAAATTCCCATCTGCCCATAACCGCGGGCACGGCTTTCAAAAGTTCAAATCCCTGCAGGGGTGTCCCAACTTAGCCCATCACAAGCTCTCACGGTCAACGAAGGATATTCCTTCTAGCGGGAAGACCCGATCAGACTCGGAATCCCGGTTACAAGACATTTCGACAAGGTAAAACTAAACCAGCAACACCGCCCGAATGTGCCGACAAATCCCGATAGGAGCTGCACATATCTCTTTCTCAGGGCACACTCAGATTGTCTTAGGTACGGGTAGGCCAGCCCAGAGTTGCCCCTGGTGGCCACCGGCAGCTGACAGGTGGACCAACACTCAGAGGAGCACTGGCCCGGGGGGTTAGAATAATGATGACCCTTGAGTCTGCAGAACCCAAGGGAAAGAAAAGGCTAGGTGGCAAATGGTAAAACCAATGTTGGGCATTGCTGGAAGAGTTTTACTCAAGGTGAACTGTCAAGGGGTTCCCATTATTACCCAACCGCGTAAGGAACGCACAATCCGGGAACATAACACCGATATGACGGAAACTAGGGCGGCAAGAGTGGAACAAAACACCAGGCATACGGCCGAGCCTTCCACCCTTTACCAAGTATATAGATGCATTAATCAAATAAGATAAATTGTGATATCCCAACAAGTAAATATGTTCAACAAGGAACAACATCTCCATGTTCCAACAAGGAACAAACTTCAGTCTTCACCTGCAACTAACAACGCTATAAGAGGGGCTGAGCAAAGCGGTAACATAGCCAAACAACGGTTTGCTAGGACAAGGTGGGTTAGAGGCTTCGTTCACAATATGGGAGGCATGATAAGCAAGTGGTAGGTATTGCAGCATAGGCATAGCAAAAGAGCGAGCATCTAGCAAGCAAAGATAGAAGTGATTTCGAGGGTATGGTCATCTTGCCTGAAATTCCACAAGGAAGAAGAACGCGTCCATGAAGAAGACAAACGGACGTAGTTGAACGAATCCTCACAAACGCAACATTATCGGAATACCGAGAAGAAGCAACACCGGAAAAAAGCAAGCAACATAGTAAACAACCAACACATCAACATGGCACGATGCGCAAACAAGTATGATGCATGTCCGGTTTAATGAATCATGGCATGGCAAAGTGCACAAACAATCCTACAAATTAAGTGGAGCTCATTATGCAACTCCGTTGCATATTGACGAAACACCACATTTGGTTATTTAGTTCAATCTCGTTTATATACTCAACAATATTAAATGTTGTTAAACATGGCAAGAGAGTGAAGCAAATTAAAACTACCTATCTAGGCAATTTTAAATGAGGCCGGAAGCAACGAACAACAATTCCGGTAAATTTCCATATGTATATATTAGGTTTGGTACTGATCTGTCCTAAACACAATTTTAGAGTTATTAAACATGCAAAGTAAAGCCATCATGATAAACTAGGCATTTTTCCACCCCAATTACATATAAAGTTTATGAAATTCCGAGTTACGGTTATTTAGTTATGAAATAAAGCATTTTAGCATGGCATATGGACAAAAAATACACAAACAACATTTTAAACATGGATAAAAGT